ATTTAATAATTTTAAATATTATAAATTAAATATATTAATATATTCTTTAAAGGGAATGTCGTCTAAAGGTCAAGACTTTATCCTTTTAAGTTAAATATATTGGTTCAATTCCAATCATTCCTACTTATATATACTTAATGTATTAATATATAAAAATAAAATGACAAATAATGTTAGAGGATATTTACAATTACATCCTTTCCACTTAGTAGGTCCATCACCATGACCTATATTTACATCATTTAGTTTAATGGATTTAGCTTTATCTATAGCTTTAAATGCACACGGATATATGGCAAATAATTTCTATATAATATTAAGTACTATAACAGTATTATATAGTATGACTTTATGATTTAAAGATATTATTGCTGAAAGTACATATTTAGGAGATCATACTATTGCTGTTAAACGTGGTCTTAACCAAGGTTTCTTATTATTTGTAGTTAGTGAAATATTAATCTTTGCTTCTTTATTCTGAGCTTATTTACATTCAGCTGTTAACCCTACTATGGATTTAGGTATGAGTTGACCTCCTGTTGGTATTGATGTTATTTCACCTGCTGAATTACCTTTATTAAATACTATTATTTTATTAGCTTCAGGGGTTACTATTACATATGCACACCATGCTTTAATTAATGGTAATAGAGCTAATACTTTATATGGTTTCATATATAGTACTTTATTAATTGCTTTATTTGTTGTATTCCAATTCTTAGAATATAGATATGCTGGATTTACTATTACTGATGGAGTTTATGGTTCAACTTTCTATTCATTAACTGGTTTACATGGATTACATATGATTATGTTAACTATTATGTTAATTATCTGTACTTGAAGAGTATATAATTATGATTTCACTAATACATCTCATGTTGGAGCTGAAACAACTATTTTATATTTACACGTATTAGATGTTATATGATTATTTATCTATATTATTGTATACTGATGAGGTTCATAAATTATTAATTTATATATATTCTTTTTATATATATACCTTATAGGTGAGTATTTTTATAAGCGATTATGATGAAATGGTAGACATAAAACACTTAAAATGTTTGGGCGTTATGCCGTAAAGGTTCGAGTCCTTTTAATCGTAATTTAATTATATATATTATTTTTATAATATTACCTATTATATTAATATATTATATATTTAATATAATTTAATAAATTGTTCTAATGTTTGTAATGCCTTTACAAAGTATAACCTACATATTATAATTATTATTAAATAAATATATGTATATTGTCTAAAGGGATAGTTCTAATGTTGGTAATT